GGAGACAGAACAGCTTCCCAGCAGCGGGCGCCGCTCCAGCGGCCATCTGGGCAGGAGGGGTCTCGGGATCCGCGGCCGGGGAGCCGCCCAGACACTCGGTTTCTAGCCTGTATTTCAGTGGGGCTCCTTCAGTGAGGGCAGACGTCAGCCTAGGCGCGCTTCCTATGCAAGCAGAGCTCAGAAAACCCCGAAAATCTGCAAAGAAAGGAAAGCCCAGGAGGAGGAAAGGGCTCCGAGGAACCCTGTGCCTGAGGGTCCCCTCAGCTACTGGTGGAGACCTGTGACTCAGTAGCAAGTAAGTGCCTTTTTCTTGCTGTTGTGTCAGTCCCAGAAGGGTGACAGCATCCTCTGTTCCAGTCTCTCCCGCCCACTGCCACCTGCCTGTCCCATACACACCCTTATGGTCCCCAACAGGATGGGATTAAGATTCTGGGTGTGCATTAAGAGAGCTACTTCAGGAGCAGCAGCGGGCTGTGGATGCTTGCAAGGTTCCTGTTGTCAGTGATCTCATCCCATCGGGTAAGCTTTTGATGCCAACATCCTCTGTTAGTGTAAAATTTCTGGAAATCCTATTTGGCAGTGATTTGTATTACATGATACACCGGGAAGATAAAAAGAATGAAAGGTTCTGCAGGTTGGTGTATATCTCTAGGAACGTCGTCTCTTATAAAGCGACTTCGTGATTTGAAGACTGGTACCTTCCACGTAAGAACTGTCAGTATAAAAGAAGAGGCCTCGATTTGCTGTGATTGGAAACGGTGTGTTAAGTTTAAAGAGCTGGGCAGTTGGGTGTTTTTTGGATCGACGCCGTTTGTTTGCTTCGTTTTGGTTTTTTGTTCTTGCATTGTTTAGCCCATGTAAAGTGAATATCTTCTGGACGTTTTCTTTCAGAAGTGATGATCTGATTCTGGTTATGATACCTTCCAAATTTAGCACATTGGTCGAAGTAAGGCAACTGAGGCATCCGGGTGGAATGATGGACTGATGGGTCTCCTTCATTAATGGAATGAGGTTGTCAAGGTTGGATACTGGCCAGAAAAATATCTTGAAATGGGAAGGCGTTTGGGTGGTGTTTCATGGTATTTCCCGCGAGTATTGTTCAGAGCACAGTTTATGATAAAGTGGAAGGAAACTGGGCCCTGGAGTAAACAACATCCTAGGGACCGTATCTGCTACGATTCTCCCTAATCAAAGATTCTATAATAGGATTTGGCTCCTATTGTTATAGGTGAGGAAGATAAGGCTCCTATGAGAAATTTGCTGCCCGTACCTGGCTAATCAGTGACTGAGCTGGTGTCCAGTGAAGACGTGGTTGGTGTAGGAGAACAAATTCCCGTTGCCTTTTATGAAATAATATTAACCAATGATTGTGGAGAAATGTGTAACCAGTGCAGTTCTCATTGTTCTTGACCTTTTGGTTATTTGCTACAGCACCGTGATAAAGGAAAACATCATGAGCCAGTATGTATGGGAAACATTCACAAAGACATCTCCAGATGAGCATGGGGACAGGATCCCCAAAGCAGTAGCAAAAGTGATTGACCTGTGACAGAGACCAAGGCATGTGAAACTAGAACGAAGTTGCAATGAAGAATAAGGGGTATGTGTCAGCACACACATCTCCAACATTTGCAACAACAAAATAAATCACTTAGCTAGGCAGAAATAGCTAAGGCAGATACCAGTCAGACCAATAAATGGGAGGTGTAGGACTATCAGTTCCAAACACCAAGATAAAACAGCCCAGACAGTCACGTCTCCACATCCGCCCTTCCTGCTATATAGAACATGACATCTTTTGTATCTTTTTCCTTGTAACTTTTTCCTTACACTTCTTTGTTTGAATCTCAATAAATACCCATTGGAACCTGGAGTCAGGGCCGCACTGCCATAACTTTAACAGTGTCTGGTCCCCAAGACCCTCAGTTGTAAGGTTGTATTACACTGAGCGTTCACACTGTCGCTCTGTGCTGTTCCCAGAATCTTAGAGGTTTTACCCCGCCAGGGGTCATCTCAGTTGGGATTTAGAATTATTAAATTCGATTTCCATTTTTGTGCAAATGAAGCCAATTGTTTAACTTTATTAAGGTTTATTTTCTTATTGATAAGTGTCACATAAAAAATCCTGCTATAAGACTAATTGACAGAGAAAACTTGAAGGGCTTTATGAAAGTAATATATGTAGCTGTTGTTTGTGCAAGGAATTATTCTGTTTTTATCTACTTCACTATTCTGGGTCTCATTCTAAACCTAGTTCAATCTAAGAACAAAGGGGGCTTTGTTAGGCTTCTCAAGAATGTAGGGCTCAATCTTTCACTTGCCACCTGTATAGCGTAAATTATACTCTAATCTATAAACTTCTATCTTTATAAAAAGTGTATGCTTTAGCTAGTTTCTCACATTTAAACACATTTTCATATTTTCAAGTACGTTTCACTCTCTCTTTTTAGTTTTAAATTTTGTTTTTGGTGTGTAGTCCTTTTTCCTGGGGATGAAACAATCAGTATATTAGATATTGGTGAATGGACTTGGTTCATTAAGTAATATAGGAAAATCAAAGTTGATACATGAATACTCTACTCTTTACTGTTAATATTTGTTAAAATCTTGCATTTGGGAAAGAGGTACTGTGAGCCCCTTCTTTCCCGTGGATATGTTTAAAGTGATGAGAGAAAGGCATATAAGCTCAGAAAATGGGACTGATGGATCTCAGATGTCATGGCCAGGCCTCTGGAGAACTGGAGGCATAGCCAAGCACTTAGGAACTGGGCATCGGTCTCCAAAGCCTCATGTAGGAGGGGTTTGGTAGTTGACATTCATGGTCACTGATTTTGACCAAGTAGGATGAATAAATCTCTAAAGCATACTAGAAATGGAAACAACATATTACGCCCAATCCCTTCCTTAGAAAAGACGTATGCTGAACACCCCAGCCCTAGATCTCACTGGCTTAAGATCTGCGTCACAACCAGAGGCTGACCAGCAATCCTCTACACACCATCTTAAACTCTCTCTTGAAAGCTTATGGTGGAGACATGAGCGTAAAAAGAACATTCTTGATTTCCGTGAGTCTGAGTTCATTGTTTTCACTCACCAATATCAGTGTTCATCAGTAGTGAGAATGAAAGCAGCCACCTCTGCCCACCTTTACAAGCTATCAGCAATGTACAGTTACCTATTAACATACAGGACGAACTTGTTCAAAACAGATCTCATTTTTGCCAGCATTTATCCCCTTTTCTTCTATTAGTGTGGCCTAACCAATGCCAGGTAAAGGAGGTCTCATCTCTGCAATAATGGAAGAGGGGAAAAGGGAATGATTTCCTCCGAGGGCTCTTGGGAATATTTTTCAATGGTACGTATCTTGTGACCCAGCTAAGATCATGATTTCCATACATTTGTTCAATCATAGCATTTTATAAACTAGACTTCATCTTGCTATATTCTATCCTGATATCCCTAACAAATAGAGACCCTGGCTGTGTATATAGTACTTCTAACTGGACCTGACTGAGGATAACCAGCTCTGTGGACACTCTGGCAGTGAGGAGAGTCAGGGCCAGACTGTGTCTGTATGAAAGAGCTTGATGGAAATGCTGAAGCAGGGTCCTTACTCCTGCAAATTCTGACTTAAATATGGGATTAGGACAGGGCATTCAGTTTTAAACTAGAACAGCAGATAATACTGATATGATAGCCGTAGACCCTGGCTGAAGATGTTGTATCACATGGATCATCCTGTCCCTTCTGCTTTAAATGCTAGGGCAAGCCTTCTAGCCCACCAGCCTCTCACTCTCCTAGTTCTCCCAAAGGCTGCCTGGTCTAAGCACTTGATTATAGGACGTAACTTTGGCTCTAGTCCTTATCTACTCTCTGCCCCTCACCCTTGAGCAGTATGCTGGGTGTTCTTTGCTCAGCTCAGAATCAGGTACCTGGGAGTGAGACAAAAGCCACACACAACCTAAAATGTCACAAGGCTCCTCTCTAGCTGCTGTCAGTTTGAAAGGAAATGAAAAAATGAAAAGGAAATGAAACCATCTGTGTGGTTTCACATTTGAGAAGTTATAGTAGCTTTTGGATGTAGAGGGGACTGAATCCTGGAAAAACACACAGACATTTTCAGAATTGCCAGAAGTAGAAGTATATGGTCAGTCATACAAAGGCTCTAGGGTTCCAGTCAATGTGCTAGTTTTAGAATTAAAAAATGAAAAGCAAAAAGTAAAACAATCAATCAAAACATACCTAAGTATTTTGTAGCTCTGGTGGCATCTACAGTCATAGACCAAAAGGTTTCAGGGTTGCTGGTGAAGACACAAGTTAGATTCATTAACAGGATTTGTTTGGTATTACTCTAGAAGGGGCAAGAATGCATTCTTCTCTTCTGAGCTCTTTAATGGCCTCTGGCCAGATCCTTCAGTCAAGGGTCTCATTAATTAGGGTCAAAAGGGCAGTTAGTTCTGGAGAGACTCTGGCTTTTCCCGTTATGCTTGTTTTCATTGTCTAGATACTCAGAGCCTGAAGCTTTCATCATTGGTGGAACAAGGGACCCTACTATGAACCAGAGGTTGTTGTAGGGAGGCTCAAATGGGCAACTTTCCTTCATATTCCTGGAATCTTCCCTTATCTCCACTGCCTGGCCAGGCATATGACTCATACTGGGGCATCTCCATCTTCCACGGAGACTAAATGTCACTTGCATTCTCTCCAGGCATTCACACTTCTACCAAGCTTTCCTTACATCCTTTCTTATAATTGAAAATTTGAGATCAGGTTCTAATTCCTTCTTTCTGGAGGGGAGAAACCTTCAAAGACCTCAGTTTCAGATTTTATTAATGGACCATCACTAGAATCTAAGTTCACCAGACTTCAAGGGGAGTTCAGTTCACATGAACAAAAAGACACGTCTTTTTGGATTTAGGTGTTCATCCACCTACTAGGCTGTTTCTCTACTCTTTATTTCTGAGGAATGCTTGGATTGAAACTTTTAAGAATTATCATCAAAATGGAAGTGCAATTTACAGAATTTCTTTTTTTAGGTAGGAGTAGTATTTTATTGTGTATATATAGCATTCCTTCATGCATTCATCTTTTGATGGATACTTAGGTTGCTTCTGTATCTCGGCTCTTATAAATAATGCTGCCACAAATGTGGGCACACAGGTATCTCTCTGACATACTGATTTAAATTCCTTTGGCTATATACCATTTGTGACAACATGGATAGACCTAAAGGATGTTATTCTAAGTGAAATATGCCAGACATAGAAAAATGCTGCATGATTTTGAATGTATGTG